TCAGTCAAATTTCCAGTAAATATTTATAGATCTGCCTATTCTTTGTGTATAATTTGATATTTCAGCTCCTTTAAAAGACTCCAGGAATAGCTTATCTTAACCACGACTGAAATGGGATCCACAAAAATAAGTAGTACGCGTGATTTTGCCTCGATCTCAATAGATAGCAAGTTGCTGCAGACACACACACACACACACTTACACATAGACAACCCCGTGATAATGTGCGTTTTGTGCTATGCAACAGTATAAAAACTGAAACATCAGGTTGTGATGAAGCCTGTCAGTACACCGGTTCCAGTAATTACCCGAGAATATGTTTGCGTCTCGGGAGACACTGTCCCGAGATGTGTGTGATTCTCGTAAATTATTCTTTTCTCACGCTTTGATACAGGATATTAGCAAATGTTTGTGCTATATCTGCACTGTAGCAGTGAGACAGCTGTCCGGCTTTCATTCATTTCCGAAAGATACAGTATCATGAGGACTGATCATGTAGAACTACAGTGATGTGGGAATTGCTCTGCGTTGTAACATATTATATCATCTGAAGAAAAAATTATAAAAATTGAAACGAAATATTTTGATTCATTTCGGTTTATAAAACTATAGACTTGCAGCAAATACACTTCAGGGAGCTTCGGTCTTAAGAAATCTTTCATCCACTGGATGCCAGGCATAGCTATACTAGTATCTAGCTATCCTGTGCTATGTATAGCCAGCGGGCACTTACATACTGTACTTCAGATAAGTGCTGTATCTTTGGGAAAGATCGGGGTGATCGCGCTTGCCACTCAATAATGTAGGATTTCCATTGGTGATCAGCATAGCGGCTAGCGTATCTCGTCCATCAGAAGTAGCATTTTGGCACAGTTGCAGCGACGTCTTGCACAGCATTCTGATTGCTTATATAGTCGCGAAGAGATACATCAAGCATCCTTTGTTGTACAGCGCTGTCTGTCAGGCGTTCTTTATCGATTGATTAATTTGCTTCCCACCCCCTCCCACATGCTGCATTCGGTCACTGTTTACAGCTAAGGGATGAAACACAGACTGCATCCTGGCATACCTTCTCGCATATGATACTTAGATTGATCCTTTATCTCGTACTGTAATTATTTAGAAAAAGCTCTGAAATTTCATAGGATGCTAATTATTTCCATTTTTTAGGTTCCGAGGAAACGGCCAAAATTTGAAAAATTGACAAGTATCCCGAGCTTCCTGCAGCGAAAAGATGATTGCGAGCAGATGCTGCGTGATTATCAGCTGGAAGGCGTAAACTGGTTGTTGCATACATGGACAAAGTCAGTTATACTAGATTTGTTTTTTTTTCGTAAATCTACCCAGAGCACATATACTTTTTAACTATTTTCCTAGGGCCAGACACCTAATAAAAGGAGAATAAACAAAAAGAGCAAGTGGGATGCGAGATTTTGCCGTTTTTTTCCCCCAAAAACTATGAAATCTTTACTTCAACATTTTTGATACAGTTGATTGGGCTTCCCCTGGGAGATCGGGACTCGGATTTGGCAAAGCGCCCACCGCCGTGCAGCCCTCTGTGCTATGATTGTCTCATTGGTGTGTGTTGAGCATCACTTTCTTACCTCAAATATTGTCACTTGTAGAGCACAATGAAGTACATAGATCCGTTGAATGGACCACGATGAGGTAGTATCTGCTGATGAGGTAAAAAACACGCA